GCGTAAACATTCCAACAATTCAATGACAAGTCATAATTGTTTTCACTATTTCAGATTTACAGATCTAAAACAAACTGTTCCACTTTGTGCTAGCAAGATTTGATGCCAAGACGTTAATTTTGTAATAGTTCAAGAGATCCAAGCACGATTTAAGGAATCTTCTAGGCATGAAAAAGTGAAGAATTTACAAAATAATATATTAATTAGTTAGACTTAGATAAGGGGAACTTACATTTAAGGCCAATCTTCTGTGAATATTATATTGTTCAACAGCAAGAGCAAGAATGAAGCTTCCAAGGACAAGGGCAATGACATCATTCATGTAAGAGTGAGCAACACTGTCAGAAGAAGATATTCCAAACAGGGGAAACAGAAACAGGGGAGACATGGAGGTGACAGGCATGGGCACAGCCTGAGTCAGCCACCATGAAAACACCCAAGCAAGCACACCCAACATGTTCCGGCTACTCACCGGCCCATCAAACTTCACACAAACACATATAACACCGCACAGCAGAGGACCCAACAGAACGTAGAAACTGTTGGGAGTGAAAATGGATTTGAGTAAGGAATGTTGAGAGCCTGGTAACCGTTGGATTGGATCACGGTTAGGAAGAAGAGGAGACTTGCGATCATCAGAATCTAGATGAGCCATATTATGACCGTTTATTCTGAGAAGATGATCTGAAAATGATGCATGTGATGGCTAAGAGGTGAAAAACAGAGGCTGTAACTGGGGTTGGCTATATATCAGAAAATAGAAGGGAGTTGTAGACAACTTCTCTTTGAGTTTTGACACTTCCCTGTTTGTTTGTAGCAAATAAATTTCCATTATTAGCCATTAAAAACTTTACAGCAATAAAATATTTGCATGGGCAATTTACATTTTATTTTACTCCAATAATGGTGGGGGCATGAAGCAATCAGAGAAAGCCAACAGGGTTCTTCCTCTCAAGCTTGTTTAATCATTGCGTGATAAAGAAGAAAGTGAAAAATCGTCAATGGATAAGAAGTTGAGACAGATTAAGGTTACATGTCAGCATAATTATTAGTAATCTTGTTAATAATTGAAGTGTCTAGAACAGTCGTGTAACACTTGGCAAAAGAATATAAGAGAGACGTGTGTGGGCTAGGTAAAAGCAATGGAAGAAGGAGGCAATAATGCAAAAAATGGGCCCAAATGTGGGCTCATGAAAGCTATGACAATGCATTTTTCTTTGAATTTATGTGGCTCTTCTCTCTTCTCCAATCTTCACCTTCCTCACATGGAATTATCAATTATGTGGTGGGTCAAATCCAATCGACGTGTCAGCCACCAACGGCATTGTCGCTAAAGCCTTAAAAAAAATACTAACCATGTGAAACACAAATAGCCATCGATCTGTCCAAATAATTATTGCATGCGGAAATAATATTTTACTTTAATTATTACTTAAATATAATCCATGTAAATCCAAATAGCTAACAATTTAAGGATATTTATCTGAACTTATGAAAATTAGTTTATAAGTATTTGAAATTTTAATTAATTACATATTTGATTAAAGTACTTATAAGTGACTGATAAGTAGTTGATGTGTTTGGTAAAATATAGATTATAAGTATATTTTATTATAAAATAACTAAAAATAGTACTACATTAAACAAGGATATACTATAGAATTTTAAAATTAAACAAAAATAATGTAGTAATATACTTGATCAAACTAGCTTATAAACAGAGGTTTTTTTCTTTTTTTTTTCTTATAAGCTCAAAAAAGTTATAAACAAACATGTCAACTTAATTTTAGAGTTTATAAACTAGTTTGATCAGTTTATAAGCTTAGACAAACACTCCATTAATTATTTTGTTCCATAAAAATCTATTTTAAATAATAATAATCATAATTTTAGGTATGAAATTAAATATTATTAAAAAGAAAAAAAAATATCTTTATTTTTTTTATTATTAAAAATCGTTAAAATATCGCAAAAGTCATTTCTTCGTTTGGGTATATTTTTTTTAAATATGAATTAGATAATACTGGAGCGATGCCGATATTGTCATAGCCATCCGTATTTAATGTGAGAGGGCTTGTCAATGCTCCTGCCGCTCCATCAACTTCAACCTCACAGGAGGTGCAACTTTCCATGGTCAAGGAGAAAGTGTGTGGACACAAAATGACTGCCACAAAAATTCAAAATGCAAGCCTTAAACTCAAAACATTTAACAATTACTTTTCTTAATAAAAATTTATAAATTAACAAAAATACCCCCATCCACCCAACTATTGTCGACAACCGACCACCACAGTCGAACGGTGGCCAAAAGCTGTCGAAATGGCGTACGATTGAGTGGATCTGAACGGTCATGCGTTGATCTATAGATCTGGTTGAAAACAACCAGATCTACGGCCAAAGATCTAGTCGTTCACGATAGTCAAACAATGGCCAGAAATCTGGCCGTCAACAACCAAATCTGGCTAGATATTTGGTTATATATCTAGCTGTTTCCAACTAGATCCATGATGGATCTAGTCGAAAAAGGTCAAATCGGTGCACGACCGGCCAGATCCAACCAGTCGTGCGCTATACCAACAATAGTTAGATGGGTGGGGGTGTTTTTATTAATTTATAAACTTTTATTATGGGGGTGTTTAGTTAAATTAAAAAATGTTAGGGGTTAAAAATAATCTAAATATTTTCTAAAAATGTACCAAACACATTCATAGATTCCTATCCTATGTAATTAAATCATATTCAAAATAGAATACGTACTATTCTGAAAACTTAAACAAATGGAGCCTATTCTTGCATCCCATGTTATCGTTAAAAATTTAAACACGTGATTTAGTTACTTAGTTTTACTTTACCTTTTAACAATCCTTAGGATTCAATTTCGTCAATGGCTAAACAATTATCAGAATAAATTCCATTGAGAGCAAGAAAGTTGGCTAACTTCGTAATGGACCTTCATATTTTTTCTTTTTTTCAGATAGGTGCCTTTGCGAGTGAAGATCAGCAATGTTAGATACAACATCCATGACACTTCCTCCTCCGAAGTTGCAGCAAATCTTTTGTGTACCAAAGATAATCCATGCCAAAATATCGAGATTGGTGATATTAACTTGGTGTACAAGGGATCTGAACCAAGTCCAACAACATCTTTCTGTTCAAACGTTAAAGCGATCATCAAAGGAAAACATATCCCAGCCATTTGCCTCTAGACTATCTAGGCTCCCCGTCAATATATGTTTTTTTGTCATATTTTTTTCTGAAAGCATTATTTAAGATGAGATTAGCTAAAAACAGTTAAAAAATGTATCTGAAGAGTTGCATCGCTTCTTTTCTTTCTAATGGAAGACTTCTTGTTGAATATTATTGTTTATGGTTTCTTCATAACTAATTAAGAAGACCATGCAATTCTTAATAATAATATTAAGGATAGCAGTGTGACGAACATGGGTTTTCCTAACCCAAAGCTTGTTCTAAGGTAAGAATGATGTTGTGTATTATTGTTCTTAGTCTTGTTTAAGTTTTTTTTTAATCCTATCTAGGGCATGTCCTATCGTAAGATGTTTTTGTTTTTGTGTTCCTTTGCTTGCTAGCTCCTCTCCACTTATCTCCTATCTTTCGCATGCTTAAAATAGATAAACAAGAGAAGATTAGGTTCTAAGTCTATTAGACTTGTGTTTTTATTCCTATCTCAGTGCATGTCCTAAGGTAGGATGGTCCCTCTTTTATGGCCTCTCTGTACACTTTGTCTCTCTTTTAATGATATTACTTACCTACAAAAAAAACAAAAACAAAACAAAACTGGACCTAAAAGTACCTCAAACATGCACCCAAGAGAAGCAAATTATTAAATTAGGTACATGTTTGTCAATGGAAACAACCTAAGCTTTTCAGTAAAAAAAGAAAATGAGAAACAATATAACGAATCTAGCTAATTAATAAATAGATATTATAAACTCTTAATAGAATGAACATCAAATTATTGGTTGCACCAAGCTTCAATCTACTGTGAAATAGTAATATAACAACGTGATAGAACGAACATGTCTAAAGCTATATTCACTATTGGCAGGAAATGGTATCATAAGTTTTAAGTTCTGTTAAAAGAATATATACGTTTTAAGTTATGTGAAAAGAATATATTTCTTTTGAATAGGGATAAAAGTTGGCTTACAACCTAATCTTACAAACTTTCTCTTATAACCTTGATATGGCAGTTCATAATTAGTCAATTGAAAAATAGATTGACGAAACCTATAGTGAGCAAACGGGACTCATTTGTAAGCTAATCAATTGTAAGAGAAATTTTAAGAGATTAGGTTGTAAATATAGTATTATCCTTTGAAGAGATGGTCTAAAATATATAGCTATTATCACAGCTCAACCAGCATGTATCATGAAAAGAATATATTTCTTTTGAATAAATGGTGTAAAATATATATCTATTACCACATGTCAACTAAATTTTCTATTTTTTAGTTGAAAATTCCCACCTCATGGTTCCCTGCGTCCATGGAATAAATATGATGTCATCTAAGCTGACGTAAAATTAAAGTTATGAACGGTTCTTTTAACATTGAAATCAACTATCAAGATGCTTTTCATTGAGGAAAAGCAAAAATAAAAAGCGAAATTTCTTCGTTTAGAATTAGAACATCTAGCCATCCAAAGCCATCTCACTGAATAAAGAATATAATATGTGCTTTTCTCTTTTTAAGTGATGCTGATGCCCATTTTATCTCTAGACACAGGGAACAAAGCAGCCTGCAGCTTCTTCACCTTTGATGAGTATCATGATTTATCAAGCAAGAACATTATATTTAATCTATTCCTTTTGCTTTTATTATCTTTAAGATTTTATTCTTTTTCTAATATATGCTTTGGTCTATTGTCTCTTCTTTTCAGAGAGGCGTATTACTTAATCTTCTGCAAGTGAACTTCCTACATAGACTATAAATTAAGACGTGTGGAAGAGCACAAATATGATCAGTTTGCTATAACTAAAAAAAATGGGTGAACTTTTTCCAAGTTTCCTTTCTAACCTCATTGCATTACTTAGCTTTATTCTTCTTTTCCAAAGTTGTTGGCTTCAAATGGTCACTACTGAATCGTCAGCAGGTTAAATTAATATGTTCTTTTATTTTAAGTTTTTTGGAAATTTATTTCTCTAATAATCTTCTGCTAATTAATACTTTTGGTGGCCTTGCGTTATAATCCAGGAGAAATATTAACGGATTTATCCTGCAATAATTATAATTGTTTGCCAACCGATGAAGGTAATAATCATATATGAATGATACATTAGATTTCGTTTTTAATTGTTGAATCAGCGAAAGCTTTGAAAACATTGGTGGACAAATTGGGCTATCAATCGAATTCGAATCAAGATAGTACGATGAATGACACTCGCTCTAGTCCTATATTCAATTGCAGCTGTAACAACAATGCTTGTCACGTCACCAACATGTAGGTTTGGAGCTGGCATAAATGAGTATGAAATATTTATTGTCAAATTGTCAATTAATTAATTAATTTATACATTTGCATGTTAATTTTTTCTGGCAGAACTATTAAGAGCTCAAAGTTAGATGGATTTATTGATGGAGAAGCACTATCTAAGTTACAATACTTACAATTTGTGTAAGTATCATTAAGTTGTCTTTCTGCAACGTGTGCATATATGTGCATATATTTATAAGTTACAACAAGGAGATTTCTTAAATTAATTTATATACTGTTTCTATCTCTTGCGTAGAAGCAACAGAATATCTTAAGATCAAATATTTCCTCACCCAACCTTGGAGGAGGATTCATTAATTTGAGCTTTTGGGTGGGGTTGAAAAAGCAACAGATTTCTTAAATGCATACTCACTTGTGCTCAGTTGAAAGAAAAATTCTTAAATTTAATTAGTGTATGCCATTTTATCATATAAGACATAATTATATCTTTTATGTGTTAAATTGATAACTGCAAAAGTAGTAATGTAACACTATATATGGTCGAAGGACTAGAGGATCTATGTTTTTTAACATATATCTATTTTTTTTTTTTTTAACAGTGATCTATCCTATAATCAAATTCAAGGTGTCATTCCTCCCACCCTGAATAATTTACCCAAGCTCCAAACAATGTGAGTTAGTGTTGCGCTATATTTATGTCTTATAAGAGGGCGAAAATCCATCATAGAATAGTTGATTTGCCAGCACCTCAATCTTGAAAGCTTTTTCAAGAATTTTTTTCTTAATTTTTTCCGTTTCTATTTAAAGAATCAATCAATTGAGGACCAGAGTATATATATACATATTGAACTGATGAACATATATATTTATGTCTTATAAGAGGACAAAATGCATCATAGAATAGTTTATTTGCCAGCGCCTCAATCTTGAAACTTTTTTAAGAATTTTTTCCGTTTCTAATTAAAGTATCGATCAATTGAGGACCAGAGTATACATATATTGTTTTTGTTTTTAAGCAGTTGGCTATCCAGCAATCAAATTTCCGGTACCATTCCTTCTAACCTGAGTAATTTATCTGGGCTCCAAGTACTGTAAGTCGACAGTGATAATTTTTTTTGAACCACAGTATATATATTTATAATATTGTTTGATAATTTTTTTCTTTATTATTATTATTATTTTTTTTTAACAGAGATCTATCCAGCAACCAAATTTCTGGTATCATTCCTCCTGCCCTGAATAATTTATCAAGCCTCGAATCCATGTAAGTCAGTGATACTACAGTATATATGGAACTCAAGAAATATCATAATTTTCTCTAGCTCCAGATCAAAGAAATATTCATTCTTAATGATAGATTTGGTTTCTGTAATGACCAGTGTCCTCGGGACCAATAAATTGAATGCCCCGCTACCATACATGCAAAATATGAAGGAACTAGTGTCTATTTAAACCTTTGTCATTGACGATAAATCATTATATTGCAAACATACCTAATATCCCATGGACGTCCCAGCCAGGATTTGAAGTTTTGGGAGAAAGTCTAAAGTGTAATTTCACAAAAATCTAAGAAAACTGAGTGGAGTGAAGAGTATTTCAATACAAATCTAAAAATATCAAAACAAGTAAAGTAGGCTCAAAACAGAGAACTAGCAAAATCAATGAAAAACAAAAAAAATTAATAATAACATACGGCATGGTTTTCTGGTTTCCCTCAACAGCTTTCTTTCCTGGAACTTTCTTGAAGGGACCATACCACGATCTTTAGGGCAACTTTCGTCTCTCAACACTTTGTGAGTATTTTCACAATGATCACTTGAAGAACTTTCTGCGATTGATCACATCTATAAGTCCATATACACCTACTCAATTCATGATATTTATAAAAATTTTCCTGTTTTTGAAGGGATCTCAGTATCAATTTACTTACCGGTGAAATTCCTGCTGAATTGGGCAATTTGAGTAAACTTGAGGACTTGTATGAAATCTCTTTGCTAGCTTAAGGCCTTAAATAACAATCGATTTTATCTTTCCTTTTTATTTTTTTCAATATATATGTACATATATTTTTGTGACAATGTAATATTTCTTTTTTTTTTTTTTTGGTTCATTTTAATAGGGAATTACAGGAGAATCTACTGGAGGGCACACTTACACCAGCACTTGCAAAGTTGGAGAATCTCTCACTATTGTAAGTTCATTAAAAGGACACCAAAAAGCAAAAAATAAAAATAAAAAACAAAACAAATGGAAAAAATAAAAAAGATCGGTTAGAAATCTCACAGTATTTTTTGACTATATGTAAGTTGTATATGTTTCTGCAGGACGGTAGCATCCAACTGTTTAACTGGGAAATTGCCAAACGAGTATGCCAATCTTACAAGATTGCTTGCATTGCAAGTGCTCTCTCCCTTTAATTTTCTTTTCAATTGGGTAGTAATCAAACTCAACGACTGTTTGCTTACTAACATAAATATTAATCAATGTAGCGCGGTAGGTGGAAACAACTTTTTCGGTCAAATTCCCAAATATATTACCAAGTGGAAACAACTACAACAACTGTAAGCGACTAGAACCATCTATTCCCAATTTTGTTTTTAAAAAACTTTCGTGATAAATTAAACATATGCATGCAACAGGAATCTCTTAGGAAATGAATTTGAAAATCCAACATTGGGTTTCTTTAATATGTCAGAGCTTCGATATTTGTGAGTCCACTCCCATATGCTTCTGCGTTCCACTTATTTCATTTGTAAACTTCTTCAAGGAGAAAGAAGATAATCTTTATATATAAATGATTTTGTCAATTATTCCTCAGGGCCGTTAGTGACGTTAGCATTACAGGATCAAGTTTCGAGATGCCAGAAATGACTCATCTCACAAATATAGAAGAATTGTGAGTTGTTTATTACCTTTTGCAGTTAATTATATATAATATTGTATAACATATCTTTCTTTAAATTGTTCCCATAGAATAATCAGAAATTGCTCCATTACTGGCGTAATCCCGGAAAGCATCGGCAACTGTTCAGAATTAACATACCTGTACGTTTATCATTTTTATTTTGTTATGTTTTATTTCTTTAATTATCAAGTTTACAAGAATAATTGATTTGTTGTCTATCAAAATTGAAAAAGTTTTAGGTTGACATATTGTATCACATTATTCATAAAGTATTATATTACCCATTGTTGCTAATTTTTTTCCCCGTCATCTCACAACCACCTTGATTGATTAACTTCAAAACATTGTATAAAGTGAGACTTTATTGGATAGACATTACAAGTGAGATGATACACCATTCTCTTAAAGACTTTATATATGTTAGGTTTCATGACTTTTGCGGTTTGTCTTGCAGAGACTTGAGCTTTAACAAGTTGACGGGTGGAATTCCGAAATCTATGGAGAATCTGACATTGGATTATTTGTACGTGAATGAATTAATAGTTTAATCTCCATCAATCGATAATATAATCATTTCTCATCACTAGCTTGTTTTCCTTAAAACAAAGAGAAAAAAATTAAGTGGTTGGCTGATAAATTATAACAAGACTGAAAACGACTGATTTTTTCTGTTCAGGATTCTAACAAGCAATATGCTTAGTGGGAATATCAACCTTTCCTGGATAAAGAAAATGGAACTAGCGTAAGTCACCTTTAATTGTACCCTCTTGATTTTTCTACTCTATTGTGCTTTGACCAGTCTCAATCATATTATTTCTTTGCTTTGCTTAAAAAAATAAAAAATAAAAAAATCCACATTAAAATATTTAGTGCATCTTTATTTGAATTAGTTACTTCGAGTTTGGAGAAACATAAAGTTTTCCATGAAATATTTTGGAATTTTGACACACTTAAATTAAAGCAAAAGTTGATGGCATCTTTTTCTTTAGTTATCTTTCTAAATACTCTTGCATGCAACTATCTATCGAGAATGTTTTTGAAAAACTTCTCTAAGATACTAATTCATTAAACGGATTTAAAGGGTACGCATATGTTATCATGAATTATACTAATTAAGTGCTTTTAAATAAAAAAATTAAAAAAAAAAAAAAAGCATCATTATGGTTACATTTATTATGTCCTTTTTTAAGGAAAAAAATTGACACACAAGTGAAGAATTACATTCATAATAATACGTCTTACTGAAACTGACTTCCCTTCAATGTTTAAGAAGAGTAAACGATATATTCCTACCTAAGGTTTAGTGAAATAGCAAGTTTTTTTCAATATTTTTGAAATTTATGAAAGCAGGTGTGGAAACTTGCCAGTTTACTAAACCTTGGGTGGGAGGATGTCGTTTACTCATTTAAGAAAATTGTGACTTCCCTTTGGTGACGCTTTTTTGCATTTTACTATGCTTTACTTGCGTTGGAAGAAGTGAATCGACAATTTTTCACAATGCAGGGATCTTTCATTCAATAATTATACTACTTCCATGTTTCCTTCAAATCCGACAAAGAATATGTAAGGATACTTCAATCTCTCTCTTCTCTTTGTAAACTTACTTAATAGGTTGTCATACAGTGAATCAAAAAGATACAAATGTTTATCCGTTATATATGCAGTTGCAGTAATAGGTCATCCTATGCGAATATGATACCTTGTAAATTGCGATCACTCCAGAATTTATTATGTGTAGTCAAATTATGAATTTGAACTATATCCAACAAACTACCTTACAAATACATATTGATTAAATTGAAAGATAAATACTAAATTCGATAATAGTGCAAATTATGAATCATCTTAAAATACTATTACCTTGTTAGAGTTTCACACCGATTAGACATGTTCAAGCTTACTGGTTTATAATAGGGGATAATCCTCTCATTCAATACGGTCTTGTTGGGTGAGAAGTCAGACTCACCTCAAATTCTATCAAACAATTCAATTATCTTTAGAGATCAAATAGTAAATTTAGTTACAATGCAAACACCGATCCTATACAAGTTAGGAATGATATTAATTGTGGCCGAAAATGTCAACCAAGACTTTATCAGTTAAATGTATCTTTTGATTATTTAAATACAAAGAATTATGCATATTTATGGATTTTTTTCATCTTTCAGGAACTTAGACAATAGGACTATAGATATTGTGAGAGCAAAGGAAAAGACAAAGACAAATGTGTAAGCATGTTGCGTCAGTTTTTTTTTTCTTTTTTTCTTTTTTTCTTTTTAAAATTCTTAGGCCTGTTTGATATAAAATTTAAATGTAGTTTTTTTGCTTTTTAAAACAAAGGATACAACAAATCTTATAAAAATATGTTTGGTAAAAATAAGTAGAATTGTTTTTAAAAACATTTTTCGAATACAATCTTAAAAACTAGTGTAAAGTTAAAAAAACAAAAAAAATTAGAAGTTGTTGTCTTAGTTTTCTATAACTTTTAATCTAAAACCAATTTTTAAATTTTATGTCAGACACATTTTTACATATTAAAAATGTTAAAATATAACTCAAAAATTTGAATAGTATTTTAGGTTTTGAAAATTATTTTTCAATCACAAATCAAACAGGCCAATAATTTAATTTATGGTGCTTTCAATATTAATGGAGAGTTGTCTTCTTATAATCGGTGTTTTTTTTTTTTTGTTTTTTTCCGGTTGTGGTCACTGCTTCATCAATCAGTATTGAACCAACCAGGTATCTTTATACTTAAGTATTCTGCTATTAGAAGAATATAGGAAAAAAATTATTGACCTTCCTTGATAATTGTCTTAATGATTGACAAAACATTTTTAATTTGAAAAATAAGCAGAAATGTTTTATAATATCAAGCTTTGGAAAAACCATAATTTTTAAGACAATCCTCATCTACTACAGGGAAAATCTTAGTTATTTTTCAATCAAAGAGTTTACATATAAGTAAAGAAAACTTTTAAGGAAGGTCAATGAAATATAGAATATATTCAAGAGTATATTATCCTGACTTATTAAATAAAATTTCATTATGTTTTCTAGGAGTTCCATATCGAGGATGAGTAAAGCTTTTTGTCAAGACAAATACCACAAATGTATGTTTAATTGCTCAAGCGTTAATTTAAGTGATTAATATTGAGGAAAAATTATATATTTAATTTTTGTATCTCACATAATGACCTGCAGACGATTCCCTTCGTATAAACTGTGGTGGTAGTAGTACACCAGTAGGCGGAACTGAGGATGAATATGAAGCTGATGATCACAAATCCAACTTTTTTGTAAGTTCAGACCATCGTTGGGCTTATGTTTGCACTGGAGATTTCTACTTTGCAGAAGCCAATTATAAAGACTACGTACAGAACGCTTCATGTGGACTTTCGCCTTCTGAGGAAACTATATCTCAAACTGCTCGTATTTGCCCTCAGTCTCTAACATATTATGCCTTCTGTTTACAAAAAGGCAACTACAGTGTCAAACTTCACTTTTTTGAAATCGTTTTTTCAAATAAGAGCAGGATGGGGAAACGTATATTCGATATTTACATTCAGGTAATAATTGTGTGCCAATATTAGTAAGTTTTTTGAAAATATGTTGCCACATTTATTATAGAGAATGACTTGATTTTTTACGAGTTCAGAATTTTATAATTATAGGCATCTGCATTAACCACTTTTCATTTATATAATAATATGTTCTCATAAGAAACTCTTGATTGATAGGGGAAGAGAGAACGAAAGGATTTCAGTATTAAAGATTTGAAGGCTTCAGACAAATCATCCATAGATATAAATACAAGTGTGCATGAGGATAGTCTACTGACAATCCATTTTTTCTGGGCTGGCAAAGGGTCTACAAACCTCCCAAACAATCTTAACGGACCTCTCATTTCTGCTATTAATGTAACTCGTGGTAAAAGAAAAAGTTCCATTTTTCTTTTCTTGTTATAATCTCAATATGTGATCCTACTTAACTATATTTTATATATATTAGCTAACGATGCTGCTCATGCTCTTTTTGCAATTTACCACAGTGAATCCAGTCACCAAAGGAAGGAGAGGCCTCTCTACTGGCCAAATAATAGGGATTGTAATTGGCTCTGTATTAGCTGCCTCTCTTTTATTATTGGCTTTCATGTGGAGATTTGGATGGATAGGAGACAGAGAGTTGCGCGGTGAGACTATATATAACTTTCTTATTCAAGAGTTAATTTCTACAAATTACGTCTTGATGTTGATACTTGATAACGCAATTGTTCTTTCATGTTTAGTGACGTCCGTTAAACTTCGAGACAAGTGGTACACCCTTAAACAAGTTAAAGATGCAACTCGAAATTTCAGCTCTAGGAATAAGATTGGTCAGGGGCGATTTGGGATAGTATACAAGGTTAATTATATACTGTGTATTTGAGTTCGTCACTTATATATGTACAAGCAACATTTGTTTAGGGAATAATTATCTTTTTTATATGTAGGCTGAACTGCCAGATCAAACGGTAGCAGTGAAGAAGCTTTCTCTTCAATCAAACCTTGACCAAGTAGGAACAGAAGTTTATGCCTTGAAAAACTTGAAACACGATAATCTTGTCGAACTTTTGGATGCCTATTCTAAAAAAGACATGCACTTGCTGATATACGAATACATGGAAAGAGGCTCACTTGAAAAAGCCCTGTTTGGTAAGTTTCTTTTCATCATATATAAGCTCGATAAAGTTTTTACTACAATTTCTTTAACCATGAGAATAATATATATGCAGATGATCAAGATTCTAATAAACTGCAACTTGATTGGCAAACAAGAGTTAACATCTGCCTCGGAATAGCGAAGGGTTTGAAATATCTACATGAAGAAAATCCAAATCGCCAAATTATTCACAGAAATATGAAAGCCAGTAATATTCTGCTTGATGGAAATCTTAACGCTAAGGTATCAGACTTAGGACTGGCAAAGCTTTACGACGAGGAAAATCCATACAATTTCATCCAAGAAATAGGGACAGTGTAAGTAAGGAATTAAGCAAACAGTTTTGGTTTTATATATGTAAGCATATTGTGTATTAACCGTATATGCGTAATGCTGATCATCATATAAATGATAACTTTTTTGTTCAGGGTATATATGGCACCAGAGTATGCAATGCGGAAAGCCATAACAGATAAGGTTGATGTTTACAGTTATGGAGTAGTTGNCCTTTGGTGACGCTTTTTTGCATTTCACCATGCTTTACTTGCGTTGGAAGAAGTCAAAATTTATGTGGTGAATCGACAATTTTCCACAATGTTGCTAGTTTTCACATGCAGGGATCTTTCATTCAATAATTATACTACTTCCATGTTTCCTTCAAATCCGACAAAGAATATGTAAGGATACTTCCATCTCTCTCTTCTCTTTGTGAACTTAATTAATGGCAAGCTATATATTGCTTGTCATACAGTGAATCAAATCTCTAAGCTGAAATTGTCATACAGTGAATAAAAAAGATACAAATATAAATCTGTTATATATGCAGTTGCAGCAATATAGGTCATCCTATGCGAATATGATACCTTGTAAATTGTGATCACTCCAGAATTTATTATGTGTAGTCAAATTATGAATTTGAGCTTTATCAAACAAATTACCTTACAAATACATATAGATTAAATAGAAAGATAAATATTAAATTCGATAATAGTGCAAATTATAAATCATCTTAAAATATCATTACCCTATTAGAGTCTCACATTGATTAGGTACGCTCAAGCCTACTGGTTTATAAGAGGGGGTAATCCTCCCATTGGGTGAAGAGTCAGACTTACCTCAAATTGTATCATGGTATCAAAGTCTAGGTTCAGTTGAGTTGAGTGCTTGACTAACGAGTGATGAGTTAGAGCCAACAACTACCTCCAATAACAATCATGATCCAACATATGAGTTTAACCGTAAGGGGAAGTGTTGGAGTCCCACACTGACTAGGCACGCTCAAACCTACTGGTTTATAAGAGAGAGTAATCCTCCTATTCAATAAGGCTTTATTAGGTGAGAAGTTAGACCCACCTCAAATTCTATAAAGCAATTCAATTATCTTTAGAGATCAAATAGTAAATTTAGTTTCAATGCAAATATCGATCCTATATAAGTTAGGAATGATATTAATTGTGGCCGAAAATATCAACCAAGACTTTATCAAATGTATCTTTTGATTATTTAAATACAGAGAATTATGCATATTTATGGATTTTTTTCATCTTTCAGGAACCTAGACAATAGGACTATAGATATTGTGAGAGCAAAGGAAAAGACAAAGACAAATGTGTAAGCATGTTGCATTAGTTTTTTTTTTTTTTTTTTTGGGTTCCTTTTTAAAATTCTTGGGTCTGTTTGATATAAAATTTAAATACAGTTTTTTGCTTTTTAAAACAAAGAATACAACAAATCTTATGAAAATATGTTTGGTAAAAATAAGTAGAATTGTTTTTAAAAACCTTTTTCAAATAGGCCAATAATTTAATTTATGGTGCTTTAAATATTAATGGAGAACTGTCATCTTATAATTGGTGTTTTTTTTTTTTTTTTTTTTCCGGTTGTGGTCACTGCTTCATCAATCAGTATTGAACCAACCAGGTATCTCTATACTTAAGTATTCTGCTATTAGAAGAATATAGGAAAAAAATTATTGACCTTCCTTGATAATTGTCTTAATGATTGACAAAACAATTTTAATTTGAAAAATAAGCAGAAATGTTTTATAATATCAAGCTTTGGAAAAACCATAATTTTTAAGACAATCCTCATAAACCTTAAGAATCGTTTGCCATAAATTTTTTCAGAACACCTCTACTACAGGGAAAATCTTAGCTATTTTTAAAAGTAAAAGAGTTTACTTATAAGTAAAGAAAACTTTAAGGAAGGTCAATGAGATATAGAATATATTCAAGAGCATACTATCCTGAATTACTAAATAAAATTTCATTATGTTTTCTAGGAGTTCCATATCAAGGATGAGTAAAGCTTTTTGTCAAGACAAACAGCTCAAGTGTATGTTTAATTGCTCAAGCGTTAATTTAAGTGATTAATATTGAGGAAAAATTATATATTTAATTTTTGTATCTCACATAATGACCTGCAGACGATTCCCTTCGTATAAACTGTGGTGGTAGTAGTACACCAGTAGGCGGAACTGAGGATGAATATGAAGCTGATGATCACAAATCCAACTTTTTTGTAAGTTCAGACCATCGTTGGGCTTATGTTTGCACTGGAGATTTCTACTTTGCAGAAGCCAATTATAAAGACTACGTACAGAACGCTTCATGTGGACTTTCGCCTTCTGAGGAAACTATATCTCAAACTGCTCGTATTTGCCCTCAGTCTCTAACATATTATGCCTTCTGTTTACAAAAAGCACATACAATGTCAACTTCACCTTTTTTGAAATCGGTTTTTCAAATACGAGCAGATGGGGAAACGTATATCGATATTATACATTCAGGTAATACTTGTGTGCAATATTATAATTTTTTGAAAATATTGCCACTTATAATAGAGATTTATAATTATAGGCATCTGTGTTAACCCTTTTCATTTATAGATAAATATGTTCTCATAAGAAATTCTTGATTGATAGGGGAAGATAAAACAAAGGATTTCAGTATTAAAGATTTGAAGGCCACAAACAATCATTCATAGATATAAATACAACTGTAGATGAGGATGCTCTTACGATCCATGTTTTTCTGGGCGGGCAAAGGGTCTACTACCTCCCCAAACATCTTAACGGGACCTCATGTCTGCTATTAATGTAGCTCGTGGTAAAAGAAAATTCCACTTTCTGTCTAATCTCAATAGTGATTCCTATTAACTATATTTTAATATATATTAGCTAACGATGGCTGCTCATGCTCTTTTGTGCAATTTACCACTGTACTTATCCGTCACCAAAGAGAAAGAGGCCTCTCTACTAGCAAATCATAGGGATTGTAATTGGCTCTGTATAGCTGCCTCTCTGTATTATTGTCTTTCATGGGAGAATTGGTGGATAGGAGACCGAGAGTTGCCGGTGGAGGACTATATAATACGTAAGTTAACTTTCTATAATAAAGTCTTGTATGTTGATAACTAATTGTTCTTTCATGGTTTATGACGTCCGTGAACTCTTCGGACGTGGTATACCCTTAAACACAGTTAAAATGCAACTCGAATTTCAGTCCTAGGAATGAGATTGTCAGGGCCGATTTGATACTATACAGTTAATTATATACTGTGTATTTGAGTTCCTATAATGTACAAGCAACATTTTTTTAGGGAATAATTAGTTTTTGTATAGTATGCTGACTTCCGGATCGAACGGGTGGCCTTGAGAAGCTTTCTTTCTCTTCAATCTTCGAAGAGAAAGCTTGTCAAATAGGAGCTGCAGTATATGCCTTAACACTTGAAACATGATTACTCTTGTGAACTATTTGGATGTTTAATTCAAAAAAGACATGCACTGCTGTTCCGAATACATGAGAGAGGCTCCTTAAAAGCCTTGGTTTTGGTATTTTCTTATCCTCGTTCTAAAGTTTTTACTACTACAATTTCTTTCACCTGAGATTAATATAACATAAATCATGATTAATCAAAGTATTCCAGTAACCTGCACTTGAATTGGCAAACAAGAGTAACATCTGCCCTCGAATATCGAAGGGTTTGGAAATATCTCATGGCAAGAAAATCCAAATCGCCATTATTCACAGAAATATGAAAGCCTATGTTCTGCTTGATGGAATCTTAACGCTAAGGTATCAGACTTAGTACTTGCAAAGCTTTACGACGAGGAAAATCCATCACACTTTCATCCAAGAAATAGGACAGTGTAGTAGGGAATTAAGCAAACAATTTTGTTCATGCTGATCAGTCATATTAATGATACTTCTTTGTTTCCAGGGTTATAACATGGCCGAGTATGCAATGCTGAAAGCCTAACAGATACGTTGAATTTTTAAGTTATGGAGTAGTGTGCTTGAAATATTCGGGGAGAATAATGCAGAGTATAACCAAACAAGAGAACGGTTTTTCTGCTGGATAGGTAAGTCAAGTCTTCTCCAAGTGAGACAGTAACACACTTTGCTTAACTATAATTCCTATTAACTTGTTTTACAAATATTGCGGCTTGTTATTTAAAAGCAAGTGGAGGCTTGGACTTGGTGGATAAAAAATTGCTACATATAACTGCACAAGCCCTGATATCCTACACTTGGCGATGATGTGCGTTATCAGTCACCGCTGGAGGCTACAATGTCTGAAGTTGTTGAGTTTACAGAAGGGTGAAAAAAACATTCAGCAGATTTCTAAAGCCGACACTCTTCCTCCTTGATTCATGTGAATAAATTCTTCTCAGTGATGAACTATCTTCCTCCTTGTTTTTCTGTTATTATTACGAGCTTGTTTTTTAGTTAGCATCTCTGACTACTCATTGTCATGTATTCGGTTTGAATAAATTAGTAAAAGTTTTACGTTTAATCAATTAAATTAGACAACCCTGAAGGTCACAAAGTATGGTTCGATCGGCTACTTAATTAATTGAAAATAATCTCCCGTAAATCAAAAACTAGAAAGTATGAAAGATCAGAGCTGAGTTATTACCCACTACAGGTAGCCTGATAGTAAAGAGTAATAAAGTTTTATATAGCTCTTTAGTTTGGGGCCACATGTTCCCTAATATCCAATTATCATCCTAAAAAAAAAAACAAAAAAAAAAGGTGAAACTATAGACTCAACCTCATGGCACACTATAGAACGCCTCGTTTCTCATGACACCAGATTTCAAAGTTTCTAAAATTCATCTTTTTTCTTGTGGCACCCATGCATTTTCATAAATCTCTGTCGTTTCATTTTTTTTTTTTTAATATTTAAAAAATTTACATTCATTCCTCTTCACTTATGCTATATACCGCCATATGACAATACCAAATAGATAAGATTGATATAGTTACCAATACTTTGAAGAAAAAATAATATAAATTTTATATGTAAATATCAAAAACTTATAATTTGTTATTGCTTGTATCTTAATGATCTTAAGCAAATTTCTTCCGCATTCATCTATTTATTCGTTTAAGATGATGTTGAATAGCCAAAACAAAAAAAAACAAAAAAAACAAAAGAGGAGAAGGAGAGAGAGAGAGAATTTTATGAGTCCATCATGGGGTGGCCAAAAGTATATGTAATAACTTGAAAAATTAAAGGGTGTATTTGGTTCCATATTCCCAATTCCTATTCCCAATATTATTTGGCACATTATTTGAGAAATATTACTAGCTATTTTTAATTATTTTTAGACCCACTAAAGTGTTTAGATGTCATAAATACCCAAAAAAAGTTTAAAAATTAGCAAAAACACCTCCACCACCCATATTGCCCAGATTCTGGCAACCACCATCCAGTGGTAACCGAAATCTGTCTACAAAACTTTACACCACGACCAGAACTACCAGTATTCATCATCTGGCCGAAAGACCAAATCTGGCCGTCACAGCGTTGGCCAACATGGACTTTGCAGTCGTCCACGGATCTGGCCAAACGTATCGTTGCAACATAAAATCGCACCGTCTGGTTTTTTTGTAATGCAATTTTCTAGCCAGATTCTATGATGGTAGTGCAAATTTAGCACTGCGCGGGTGGAGGGTTTTTGTCATTTTACAAAATTTGTATTATTAGGGTTGTTTAATTAATTAGTAAACTATGAGGTTTTTTGAAATTTTTAAATTTACCTGACTACTCTTTTTAATCCAATAACTAATATATTCCCTAATCCATATAAAATAAGAAACAAACACACCCAAAGTATTAGATAAACTTGTTAAAAAATGGGGTTCTCTCTAGTCGTTAGTAGTGTCAGTAGATCCGCCAAGATCAATCCATTATGAGCCACTCATAACCAAAAAGCCCAAATATCAAATGGGTCTAACTAGCAAGCCACAATGAAAAATCCGACCTCAGTCTTGGTATGAACTTATGGCTGTGATTGCCACGGTGCCACTGCCACCTGTCTCATATCACCATTTCTCGTGCCTCTTTCTTTCTTCTCTCTCTCCACCAAACAAAGTTCCTTATTTACACAAAAATCCACTACATGTAATGACCAACACTTATCGTCGGTTGGTAATTAAGGCCTTAAATGACTTGCCGTTATATTGGTCCCTAGTAGTGCCTTGTCACTATTCTTCCTTCGGTTTGGTCATAAGTCATAATCACCCATTATTACTTTTTTTTTTTTTTTTTTTTTTTTTAAAACAGGTGAGAATATATATCCTAATGTAATTAAACACATGGGACATTACTTTCCTCCAATGGTGGCTAATAATCTCACATTCTATTAATAAATCAAATTATTCTTTAACAATTCAACGCTTACTTTAAATGTTACACTTTAAACTTATAAAGACACAATAACTTTTAATACACTCATACTTTGTTTTATAATATACATATTTTTTTTTTTTTGTTTAACTTTTTACTAAAACCTAATTTTAATTTTTTTTTTTTTTTTTAATAATGTATGATCCAACAATTGCTACCCCAGCCCACTTAATCCTCAAGGCCCGGAATCTAATTCTCAAGCTCAATATTCTACGTAATTATACAATGTATAAACATCTCTTTTGTGACTCGAACACAATATTTATGGGTATAACTAACTTTATGGGTAAAGGCTTGTCATCTGATCATAAGGGTATAAAAAATATATTTTTATCCAAGATTTTTTATTTGAAAATATAACTAAAGTTATAAAGAAAGTAGTCACACACGGTGATGAATCTAATCTCAAGAAATCTAATAAACGTGGGGCTAAAATCACTTAGAAAAACTAAATAAAATAAAAGAGCATCTTGTGAGACCAAAACTAGGGGTGTTTTGTTTATTATTTTGAGTATTATTTTTAAAAAATGAGTTAAGTTATTTATTACGATGATGAATTTAAATTTAAAAATCTGTTTGTAAAATTATTTTTAATCCTTTATATTTGTTAATTTGAATCAAATAAAAATCACTTTAAAAAACTAAATAATAAAAGGCCCACTTCGTGCACCAACCCAAAAGCTAAATGGACAAACCTAATATGCTTCCACATTTTACGCAACAAAAACCTACAAATATTTTTACTTATAATTATATAATTGCATGCTGTTCCTTTTCCTATTAACTAACCTTATCAGATCGGCCATGCTCTGTCTTCGCCTCCTTCTTCTCATTTCTATTCTACACTGTCTTTATTAACTTTCCTCTAACAAATCAAAACCCTAATCTCAAAAGATGTCAGGTTTCCCCTTGATGTTTTAATCGACACTTTTTATCTCTTACCCGTTAAAACTCTCCTACGTTTCCGGGCACTTTCCAAATCATTTTGTTCCCTCATCGACGGTCCAGATTCATCAAACATCATCTAACATTCCCTTTCACAAAATCTCACTCTTATTTGATCCTCAAAGGTTTGCATCTTTACACTGTGGACCTTGATTCACTGGATAAGCTATCCCTTTCAGTGAATACCCAGAAAGTATATGGGTGGGACTGAAGTTTTTTGGTTCATGCAATGGCTTGCTTGCTTTGTCTAATTCTGACCAGGATTTTCTTTTGTTTAACCCTTCGCAAGGAAGTTGTTTAAGTTACCGTTGAGATTATAGAGGTTCTAAGGACTCTTGTATTCGAGGTTTTGTGTTTTCTGGGTTTGGTTATGACCATGTAAATGATGACTATAAAGTGGTTAGAATGGTGCGGTTTAAACAAGATGAGGATGATAATATCGGCTGGTTTAGTGAGTATGAAGTTAAGGTTTTTAGTTTAAAAACTAATTCTTGGAGACGGATCAAGAAATTGCCTAATTATCTTCGCTTTATGTTTCAATTTTATTTCCATCTTATGCATAGAAGAGGTTATGGTGTGTATGCTTGTGGGGTTTTACATTGGGTGCTGCCACGAAGGCCCGAGTTGGGTGTTGGTAATTTGATAGTTGCTTTTGATCTGGTGGATGAAGAGTTTAGGGTGTTGCCACAGCCTGATTATGGTGATAATGAAAAAGATTTTGTGTTGGATGTGGGGGTTTTGGAGGGGAGATTGTCTGTGATCTGTAATTATAATCAAGTTAAGGTTGATGTGTGGGTGATGAAAGAATATGGGGTGAAGGAATCATGGAGCAAGTTGTTTTCGATTGAACGCAGTAGATCAATTTCTTCATTTAGGTTCCTAAAGCCTTTAGCTTATTCGAAAGGATGTGGAGATGGTGATGGTAGGGATAAGATTCTCTTGGATGTTAATGGTGAAAAGCTTGTTTGGTATGACTGGAAAAGGAAAAGACTTAAGACGGTTAGGATTAAAGGTGCTCCGGATTCGTTTGGGACATTCTTGTGTGTGGAGAGCCTCATTCCACTCATTGATGAGAAGAAGCAGCAGAGGCAAGAGAAAAAGAGGAATCATAATAGGAAGAAGAGGTGAAATAACTGAACTTATTTTTATGCACATCTTTAATTTCTTGAGAAAAATTTTGGGATTATGTTGTGTTTAATCTCTATATTAGATTCGAGTTAATGCATATCATGTTTTGCTCCTTAATTTCTTTTTTGCAGGGATGATTTCCTGTCAAAAGGATTTAAGTTGGTTTTATAATTAATTAAAAAAAAAATGGTGCAGAACAGGCCCAAGTGATAAGAGGTAAGTTCATAACTTGTATCATCTCCTTTTATAATTGGTTTATTCAAAATTTTTAGTTGGTTCCTTTTGACCTGAGAGTTGATGACCTTTCTACTCAGAGGAAGAATGATCACCAACTAAGTTATCTAATTACTGTTAATTTTAACTTTCGCAGGGATGATATGTCGTGTTTAAATGCGAAGAATTGTACTAGGCTTTTGTTTTTTTAGAAGGGCCATATTCTGTCCTTATATCCTTTTTGATTTAGATAGTGTGAAAAGAATCTTTTGAGGTCAATGAGATATGTCATGAAAAGAGAAAAGAGAATATATATGCCTTTTGAAGGTTGTAAGCTCTTCAATGAATGTCGAGAGGAAGTTTTGCCTTCAAATGACAATTTTTTTATCTATTTTCTCTAGTTGTATGTAAATAATAAATATGAAGGAGTCAAAGAAAATAAAAAAAGGTTCTTGGAATACTATGGAGTAACAGTACTATCCGGAATTTATCTTCTATTGTGTTTTTGAGTCGTGGATTTTTTGAGGTGCTAACATAGGTATCAGTTTGTAGCTATTGCTATTTCTGTGTTTCCAGGAGATCAGATTCTTTCTCATTGGTTGAGTCACTAGATAAATTTTTTATGAATTTAGTAGTTGTCGAGAGTTGTTACCGCCTCTCGGGTATCTTCATCTTCATATCCTACTGTTTGTGCCGATCAAAGACTGAAATGCTACAAGAAACAATGTAAAAGATACATTTAAGATGTTATCAGAAGCATATATATATATATATCCATCAGCTGGATCGCTTTGCATGGTCTTGGACTTCAATAGTGAAGTGCTTTATGCTTTGTGGGTGACTCAAGTCAGAGCAAATATAAACCAGCAAACATGTGGTTTGAAATTGATCTTCAGGTTAGATATCATCAGCAATGCATATGGATTTTTTTTCCTTCTTCCTCTCATCTTTGATCCTCTCTTTATGGTTACAAAGAAAACAAAAGTTGTTCCCCAAGAATTATGACACTAAAATGATGGTCATCTTTTTTCAATCCAAGGATGCTGGAGGAATATGTCTTCATTGTGCTGGTACTCTCAAGGAGCTTGGAATATTATATATAGTTAGTGAAGTTATGCAAACTATCCTATATGTCTTGGTTGGAATAGAGGATGATGAAGTTTCCATGACTTTTACAACAGGATCTTCCAAAGCTTTAGAAAGTACAGAAAAGTCTTAATAAATATGCAACCAGTCTCCGTTAGAAAGTGAAAGAGAATCAAGAGATGTGACATGGCGAAGTTGATTGACTTACTTCATTAGTCAAGCTGAAGTAACAAAAGAGTGGAAGGACTTCCTCCATTTGACTTGTCTCTTTTCGCTGTTTTGTTCGTAAATAAAGTGATTATGAACCTCAATAAAGGGTCCTACTCCTTCAAGGGTACAAATTACAGATCAACTCAACTCCCCTGTTTCTGTACTTAGGGGTTAGGTCCTGTCATTTTCATTAAACTTGTTCTGGGCACATGGATGGACCCATTTGTACGCTCTTCGTTTTCCTCTCGCCGCGTTCAGTGAAATCTCCAGATTACAACCAACAAATTATTATTTAAATGAGACCTCTGCCAATCAAATCTGTAGATGATCACATTATATTATTTATATGGGGCAGAATCTGGTTGTTATAATTGTATAAATTGGATCTGAATATTTATTCTCCAAAGTGACCAAACACATTATTTTTCCTTAAAAAAAATTGATAATATAGCTAATATGACAAGACCAGGTTATACTTATGCAGATCTTTCAGCCAAAACTTTAGTTCAGGCAAGACTTAAATTCAGAATCTTTTAGATAATACATTCAAAAGTTTTCATCAAAACACTCTACCACTTAGTTTTGGATTCTATTCTTGCAAATAAATCATGAAATTGCAGAAATAGAATGCTGCCAAATTAAACTAGGTAATTGCCTGCTTAATGCGTGCTTCTCTAAAGCTCAAATTTCCAAAACAAAAAATAAAATATACTCCAATTTCATGTGGCTGGCTTTTGATCCTCGAGCTGAGATATTTGTATCATGTTTTTTTTTTTGTTTTTTTTCCCTTTCACTTTTTTTTGTTTTTCCCCCCCCCCCCCTTTTGTGTCTGTTTGTTTTTGGTTGTTGTTGTTGGGTGTGTTGTGTGTTGTTGATTTTTTTTTTTGTTTGGTGTCTTGTTTTTTGTTTTTTTTTTTTTTGTTTTTTTGGTTGTTTGTTTGTTTTTTTTTGTTTTTTTTTTTTTTTTGTGTGTTTCGTCCGATTATTTTTTTTCATCCTCATTTTCTGCCTTTATTAGCTTACTCAAAGAAATCTTTTTTGATGTCGAAGCTTTCAAGCTGCAGATATTATTCTTTTTTCTGTACTGCAAAACTTTAAAAAAAAAAAAAAAAAATGAGTTGCGGCACATGCGTGGTCGCACTTTTCACCAATTATTAAAATGTTTTTTCACTATGGGTGGCAAAGCTTGGTAATAAGATGTTAAAGGAGAATGTACTCGAATGTTAATGCTCCCACAGAGTGACAGAAGTGGGTGCTGAATGCTGTCATGCTGATGATGGTGTTACGGAAAACGGTGAATTCTTCGATGGTTGGGGTTAGCCAGTGCTGCATCTACGTGTAGCTGAGCCTGCAATGTCAGCTGCCATGCCCGGTGCCAGATTAGGAATTTCAAGTCCTAGAAATTTGAGTAAAATGAAAAACAACTATTCCTATACATATTACCAATTTTATTCACAAAATACTTTTTTTTTTTAAATTAACAAAAATACCCCCACCTATCCATATTTATCAGATTCCGACAACCACCATCTGTGATAGCCAGAATTTATCACAATAGCCTACAAATAATCAGAACTGGCCGGTAATTCACCGATCTGGTTTTTTTCTATAGCCGTCAACGGCCAGATATGGCTATAGATCTGACATTTTCTAGCCAAATCCATAGTAGATCTGACCAAAAATAACCATATCAATGTCCTACCCACCAGATCCGATCGGTCTGTATCGTAATACTGTTTTCTGATCAGATTCCGGCTATGGTTGTTAGAAACTGACACTATGAGTAGGTGATGGTGTTTTTGTCATTTTATAAAATTTTTATATATTAGGGTGTTTAGTTAAATTAGCAAACCTAAAGAATTTTTTATTAATTTTTAAATTTTACCTTATAATACTTTTCTATTTAACAACCTAATATTATTCCCAAAATCCTATTCTAAATAACTATACAAACGGAACCCGTTGTGGTTATTTTACTTTCTGTCACAGTAGATTGGCACCTGGCACCACCATTGAATGCTAAGGAACATTGTAATGCTTTTATCCAATAAACATAAAGGTCATGGACGCTTTGCTACGTGTTTAATAATATGTTCTGAACTCTCAGAGATGTCATTTTCTTTTTATATTTTGTCTTGGCCTTTCAAAGTGAAAATGCTACATGACTAGTCATAGTTATTGATAATATATAATATTTGAACTAATTGATGCCACTACATGATTTCCACTTTAATCTATTTTATTTTATGTTTCATATAAAATCCTCCAATCATATCAGGACGAATTAATTAGTAAGTTAATTAAGTAAGATTAGGTTTCTTATCAACAAAGCAACAATCTTTTAAGATAATACTCTTGATGTGGATATGAGACCCACAATCCCTAAAGGGCCCAAATTACCCAACTTTTCCTCACTAATACTCTTAAGGCACGCATAGCTTTGAATTTTCATTTTCATAAATATATATAGATAGAGTAAAACCTCTGGATCACATTAATTTATTACTATAAGAAGATTATAACTTAATAGAGGTATAGTTACAAAAATTACTATTTTGATTACTTATTTTATAATTCACGTTTTAGTTGTATTAATATTTCAATTCATTATTTTAGTAGTCACTGCTGCAATTAGATAATAAGATAAAGGAAATCATCCTAAAGATGATACTACGAAAATACAAAAAATTTCGTGTTAAGAAGCTTTAAACATGCTTAGAAAGCTATAAATATTTTGGTTTCAATAAAATGTGTCCATACTAGCGAGTTATTACATACCCACAACTTAAAAGATGGGGTAACGACTCTGAAACATAATTCATTGTTTCAAACAACTTTAAATTAATATTTTATTTCATCTTAAACATTTAATATAACATAACATATTTTTTTTGTAATGTACAGATAATTATTAATATATATATATATATATCATAACAGCTCATCAAAATGGCGTTAGTGGTTCCAAAATCATGATAGAGTTCTATTAAAACAATTTGGACTTATCTGAGCTAGCTTTTGGAAGTGAGTTATAACCAAACCCATTTTATCAAGTTTATAAACTTCCCGGTTAACAAAGAAAATGAATTGACACGATTAAAGAAGGAATGAGAAAAGCTTACTTTGGATAAATTTTTTCTTTTTCTAACTTTCAGCTCTTAAAAAATGTTAAATGGATACTATGATGTCTCTTAAAACAATCGATAAATTAAATGTTACAAAAATACTTAGTATAAATTAAAACATCAATTATTATGATTTATGAATTTTCCCATCCAAAACATATATAAATTTCTACCTCTATAATTTTCTCCGAGATTTCTTCCTTTCCCTTGATTCCTCCTCGTCAATGGCAAATCCCAAATACAAAACGTCTGGCATCCCACTAGATTTAATATACAACATTCTTTACAAACTACCAGCAAAAAATCTATTACGATTTCGTTGTCTTTCGAAACCATTTTGCTCCCTAATTGCTTCTCCAGATTTCATCAAACTTCACTTCAGTCACTACATTTCATCCTGTCTCAATTTCATTGTCAAAGATTTGAGTCTCTACTCCTCGGAACTTAATTCATTCGATAACATCATCCAACTTAATGATCTCAGAGAAGACACAAAAGTATTTGGTTCATGTAAAAGCTTCCTTGCTTTATCTGATCTTAACCTAGACATCTCCTTATTTAACCCTTCAAATGGAATTTTATTCGAGTTACCTTTTCCCCATGAAGATTTTCATGGAGATTGTGTTAGTCGCGTTGCGTTTCTGGGATTTGGTTATGACCATGTTAATGACCACTACAAAGTTGTGAGAATTATGAGGTTTAGATTTGAGCATGGAGATGGCAGTTGGTTTACTGATTATGAAGTTAAGGTTTTCAGTTCAAAAACCAATTCTTGGAGAAGAATCAATATGTTTCCTAATTGTTTTCGTTTTATATCTGAAACTTATAACCCTCTTTCAGATAGAAGAAGATATGGAGTTTTTGTTTCAAAAAAAAAAAAAGTGAGTTGCTGGCACATGCGTGGTCTCACTTTTCACAAATTATTAAAAATGCTTTTTTGCCATGGGTGGCAAAGCTTGGTAATAAGATGTTAAAGGAGAATGTACTCGAATGTTAATGCTCCCACAGAGTGACAGAAGTGGGTGCTGAATGCTGTCATGCTGATGATGGTGTTACGGAAAACGGTGAATTATTCGATGGTTGGGGTTAGCCAGTGCTGCATCTACGTGTAGCTGAGTCTGCAATGTCAGCTGCCATGCCCGGTGCCAGATTACGAATTTCAAGTTCTAGAAATTTGAGCAAAAACAAAAGTTAAGGCTATTACTTCCCTCCATATTTCTATTCCTATTCTTAAAATATTTATTTATTTTGTTATTTGAAAAATATTAGTATATTTTAGAATTACTTTTAGATCTTTTTAGTTTATTAATTTCATTAAATACCTCTAAAAAAAAGTTTAAAAATTAACAAAAACACTCTCATTCACCCATATTTATCAGATTCTGACAACTATCGTCAATGATAGTCAGAATCTATCACAACAGCCTACAAACGATCGAAACTGACTAGTAATTCACCAATCTTGCCTTTTTCGACCAAATCTACTGTGGATCTAGCCTTTTACAGCTGTCAACGGCCAAATCTGATCGAAAAAGACTATATCGACGCCCTACCCGTCAGATCTGAACGGTCTATATTGTAACGCCATTTTTTGATCAGATTCTGACGATGGTGACCAAAATCTGACACTGTAGGTGGATGGGGGTTTTTGTTATTTTATAAAATTTTTATATATTAAGGTATTTAGTTAAATTAATAAATTTAAGGATTTTTTTATTAATTTTTAAATTTTATCTCGTAATACTCTATTATTCAACTATCCAATATTATTTTTAAAATCATATCCAAAATAACAAAACAAATAATCCTTTTATGTTGTGGTTATTTTGCTATGTTCTGAACTCTCAAGATGTCATTTTCTTTTTATATTCAATAATACTATACTCACAAATAAATCTTACAAGATTTTTATACAAAGTGAGATGGCAAAAAATAAATAAAATAATAAAACAACAAATCAAACTCATTAAATTCACTCTTCCATTTATTTTTTGCCACATCACTTTGTATGAAAATCTTTATAAAATATCTTTGTAAGTATAGTATTACTCTTTTATATTTTGTCTTGGCCTTTCAAAGTGAAAATGCTACATGACTAGTCATAGTTATTGATAATATATAATATTTGAACTAATTGATACCACTACTTGATTTCCACTTTAATCTAATTTATTTTATGTTTCATATAAAATCCTCCAATCATATCAGGACGAATTAATTAGTAAGTTAATTCCGTAAGATTAGGTTTCTTATCAACAAAGCAAAAATCTTTTAAGATAATACTTTTGATAAACTTAATAAAGATATAATTATAAAAATTACTATTTTAATTTCTTATTTTATAATTGACGTTTTAGTTGTATTAATATTTCAATTCATTATTTTAGTAATCACTGCTGTAATTAGACAATAAAAGAAAAGAAATCATCATGAGAATGATAGTACGAAAATACACAAATTTTCCTGTCAAGAAACTTTAAACATGCCTAAAAAGCTACAAATATTTTGATTTCAATAAGAATGTGTCTATACTAGCGAGTTATTACATACTTGATACCTGCAACTTAAAAGATGGGATAACGACTTTAAAATATAATTCATTGTCCCAAACAATTTTAGATTAATATTTTATGTCATCTTAAACATTTAATATAACATAACATAATTTTGTTTTTTTATAATGTACAGATAATTATTAATATATATATATCATAACAGCCCATCAAAATGGCGTTAGTGGTTCCAAAATCATGATAGAGTTCTACTAAAACAATTTGGACTCATTTGAGCTAGCTGTTGGGAGTGGGTTCTAACCAAGTCTATTTTATCATGTTTTTTCAAAAAATAAAAGAAAACTAAGGTTTTGATAATGATGAACTTCGCGGTTAAGAAAGAAAATGAATTAAGACGATGAAAGAAAGAATGAGAAAAGCTTACTTTGGATAAATGTTTTCTTTTTCTAACTTTCAGCTCTTAAAAATATTAAATAGATACTATGATGTCTCTTCAAACAATCGATAAATTAAATGTTACAAAAATATTTAGTATAAATTAAAACATCAATTATTTTGAATTTTCCCATCCAAAACATATATAAATTTCTACCTCTATAATTTTCTCTGAGCTTTCTTCCTTTCCTTTGAATCCTCCTCGTCAATGGCAAATCCCAAATACAAAACGTCTGGCATCCCACTAGATTTAATATACAACATTCTTTACAAACTACCAGCAAAAACTCTATTACGATTTCGTTGTCTTTCGAAACCATTTTGCTCCCTAATTGCTTCTCCAGATTTCATCAAACTTTACTTCAGTCACTACATTTCATCCCGTCTCAATTTCATTGTCAAAGATTTGAGTCTCTACTCCTCGGAACTTAATTCATTCGATAACATCATCCAACTTAATGATCTCAGAGAAGANAAAACATATATAAATTTCTACCTCTATAATTTTCTCCGAGATTTCTTCCTTTCCCTTGATTCCTCCTCGTCAATGGCAAATCCCAAATACAAAACGTCTGGCATCCCACTAGATTTAATATACAACATTCTTTACAAACTACCAGCAAAAAATCTATTACGATTTCGTTGTCTTTCGAAACCATTTTGCTCCCTAATTGCTTCTCCAGATTTCATCAAACTTCACTTCAGTCACTACATTTCATCCTGTCTCAATTTCATTGTCAAAGATTTGAGTCTCTACTCCTCGGAACTTAATTCATTCGATAACATCATCCAACTTAATGATCTCAGAGAAGACACAAAAGTATTTGGTTCATGTAAAAGCTTCCTTGCTTTATCTGATCTTAACCTAGACATCTCCTTATTTAACCCTTCAAATGGAATTTTATTCGAGTTACCTTTTCCCCATGAAGATTTTCATGGAGATTGTGTTAGTCGCGTTGCGTTTCTGGGATTTGGTTATGACCATGTTAATGACCACTACAAAGTTGTGAGAATTGTGAGGTTTAGATTTGAGCATGGAGATGGCAGTTGGTTTACTGATTATGAAGTTAAGGTTTTCAGTTCAAAAACCAATTCTTGGAGAAGAATCAATATGTTTCCTAATTGTTTTCGTTTTATATCTGAAACTTATAACCCTCTTTCAGATAGAAGAAGATATGGAGTTTTTGTTTCAAGTGGTTTACACTGGTTGTTTCCTCGTAGTCCCGATTTGGGTTCAGGACTTCAGGTAACTCAATAGTTGTTTTTGATCTTAGTGCTGAAGCTTTTAGTGTATTGCCACAGCCTTATAATCCTGACTTTGAGAAAGATGATGCGTTGGAATTGGTGGTGCTTATGGGGAGATTATGCTTGGTTAGTATGTATGATGAAGGGATTCTTGATGTATGAATGATGAAAGAATATCGGGTGAAAGAATCGTGGTTTAAATTGATTTCGATTGATCGAAGTAACAAAACCAATTCTTTCAGTTTCTTTAACCCTTTACCTTTCTCGGAATGGCGTGGTGATGAATTTATCTTGGAAGTGGGTGAAGAACATGTATTGTATAATTTGAAAAGAGAAAGTGTAAAGACTGAGAAGAGCTTTTTTCAGGCAGAGGAAGAGAAGCAGGAGGAGGAGCAAGAGGAAAGTAAGGAACAGAAGAGGAAGAAGAGGTAATAAACATTGTTAAATTCCAAGTATTTAAGTCTTTTGATTATCTCTGTAATTTGTTTGACTTGATCTGTTATTTGTTCCTTTTAATTTTCTCTCTTTCAGGATTGATTTTCTGGGAAGAAAATTTAAACTATTGTTATATGCAATAACCAGAAGATGCAGAATAGGAACAAAAGGAATGATCAAAGCTCAATCGCAACCATCACATACTATTCTGAATCAACAAAAGCATACATAGTTTCCATAAGGATTAATTCCAAGAACTGTTGTTGAATATGGAGGAGCATTGAGATTATGAAGAATCTTGAATAGTAAATGTTGAATGCATTTGTACAAAAGATGATATCTTGAATCGATATCTTCCTCAAAAGTCTCATAATCAGATGTTCTTTCGAAAGCTCTTGCATCTTTTTCTTTCTTTGCAAGGCACAGACAAATCTATATGACTCATGCATACACTAAATCACTAATACTACATATAAACTTATTATAAGTGACTGTGTTACATGATTATCACAACCAGGGTTATAAGTCGAGTCGAGCTGTTTGCGAGCAAATTTGGGCTCAGCTTGACCAAAGCTCGAGCTGCTCGACTAAGGTGTCGAGTCGAGTTCGAACATGCCACTACTCGACTCGACAAACTCGTGAGCTTCAACGAGCTTGAGGGTATATGTGACAGTTTTGAAAGTAATAGGGCGCAATATGTAATGTATTAGTTTTAAAATTGACAAATCCACCCATATCCAATTATTATATCCATATTTGAAATATGTAAAACTCGATTTGGGGGTTTTGAAACTAGAAAAAAACCCTAAAACTAAAACGTCTCTTGCTCTGCCACTCTGCCAGTCTGCTCCAGTCGCCGTCTCGGTCGCCGTTGGCCGCCCCGCCTCTATCTCGTCTCAGGTGATTTTTTTTCTCAGAAAAATGAAGCTTTTCTTCTCTGTTCCATGCTCCACCACAAATTTGATGTCTCCGGACGGTACTTGAAACCATAATATATTTTTACTATTTTGATGTTCTGGAAACTTGAGAAGAAATAGTTGAGGTGAATTTAATTCTAATTTAGGATTGTATGTCATTAAAATTGGAAAAGTATAGAGCTCATCCTCTCTTCTTGTTTTATTTAACAACTGGAACAATATGTTTAGTGGACTAAAGGAAATTGCTAAGCTGTTGGATTGTTTAAATTCTGATAAGCGCTGGTGTTTCAATGTAGTGTTAACCATGTGTTTGTGGAAATTCTACTGCTTTTGTTGAAAATGTTTATGCATCAATTTTTAAGTTATTGCAATTTATGAATGACATTAAACTGGAGTTTTCAATTTTCTGGGCAAAACCGGTTAATCGGTTTTAAGAGATTGGTTAACTGGTAAACCAGTCGGTTTATAACCGGTGTGCCCCTATAATCAGTTCGGTCCGGTTTATAAACTTCTTGTATAGCGTAAATTTCTGTACATCTTGAACCTAAAACTCTCTATTATTTATGAACCCTAAATAAAGAACAGTTAAAGATGCAGCACGATGAGGTTATATGGCAAGTTATCAGACACAATCACTGCAGTTTCATGGCCAAGTGAGTGTCTTCTGGTTGACCATTTATTTATTTTTTCATCTTGATTCAAATTTAGTTTATTTACTTTTTTGTTGGGTTTTTATTGAATTTTGATTGGTGTGTAGAATCGAGACGGGGAAGTTCTGTAGAAACCCGTATAATGTAACTGGTATTTGTAACCGAAGCTCTTGCCCTCTTGCTAACAGTCGATACGCCACCATTCGAGACCACGATGGTACCTTTTTTGGGTTTTGAACTATATTTATTTATATTCAGTTTCAATCACCATATTTATTACTTCTGTCTGGTTAACTACGCTATGATGTAACTTTATAGTGACCTTATTGGACCTTGAGCTGCCTGTGGGTGCTCATTATCCTTTGAGTTTGTGAAATGATGTGATCGCCTGCTCATTGATGAAACTATTTGTATGCTTAGTTATTTATTTATTTTTGTGTGCCGCAGGTGTATTTTATCTATATATGAAAACTATAGAAAGGGCTCACCAACCAAACCAATTGTGGGAAAGAGTTAAGTTGCCAAGGAATTACGAGAAGGCACTTGAAATTATTGACAAACATCTGGTATTGGAAATCCAGCTTGTGTCTGTATGACGTGGTTTGGGTTGTCTTGAATAATTTTAATTGTGGGATGTTGAAAGTGAATAGTCTGAATTTTAATGTGCTTACTCAATTTGACAGATGTATTGGCCCAAGTTTTTGGTACACAAAACAAAGCAAAGGTTGACTAAAATGACTCAGATGCGGATTCGCATGAGAAAGCTTGCTTTGAAAACAAGGTTTATAACTTTTTCATGCTTTCTACTGCTTCCAATTTTAGATTTTTACTTTTATGGGAATAATATCTACTATGTAGCTGTCCAAATAACGTTTATGTTCTGCATATCAAGTCTTTGAGCTGAATAATATATTTTGCAACTTTTATTTGGAATTTTATACTCCCTAGTTTGTGTTTTTTTATAGGGAAAAGATTATGACAACACCGAGGAAGGAGAAGAAAAGAGAGGCTAGAAGACAGGAAAAAGCTGAAAAGGCAGCAGTTTTGGATAAGGTTATTTTCCCAGTCATGCTACTGAAATACATGAACGGCATTTTCTCCACAGCTCTTAGCATCACCGTTTTTATTGTTTTTCTTTTGCAGAGTATTGAAAAAGAATTGCTGGAGCGCCTGAAGAAAGGGGTTTATGGTGACATATATAATTATCCTGCTGAAAAATATAATGAGATCCTTGATAAGGAACAACTGGCTGCTAGTGATTTGGAAGATGACGAGGTAGTTCTATAAGAATGTCATCTGACTTTACCGGCGATTCTTCATTTTCTTATTTTTTGGATGAAATAATTCTTTATAAAGGTTAAACATTTTTTTTTCTTTAAAAGAAGTACCATTCTGCTATCACTGAACTTCTTTGTTTGTGATCGAAACTAGGAGGAAGCTGAAATAGAATATGTTGAAGGGTATGATGATCTTGAAGAGGAGGAGGATATGGAAGATTTTGGTGGTCTTGCAATTAATAAGTTCCATACAGATGATGATGATGGTAAAATTGGTTTTCAATACTTTCTTTTTGTTGCCTTTTTTAATATGATGGGATATGTATGCATCCATCAACTTTTACAATATATGTGTACATTAGTTATTTACATATGTGTTGGTTGCTGATTAAAACCTTCATTTAAATGGATTAATTGATCGCAATTGTCATCTGCTAGGGGGAGCTTTTATGTTATAAAATAGCAAGTTGCACCTCCTATAACATGTTGTTTGGGTCTCATACACTTTTGATTGTTCACTCATCCAATTTCCTTTTTGTTACTTTTGACATTGTGTCTCTGGTTCTGAAATGTTTCTCTTTCAGAGTGTCTGAAATATCAAACTGAAATGATATTTTATTCATTGATATAATTGGGAACTTAATATTGGTGTAATGTTACAGTTGGAGTGGATGAAGATGATGAGGAAACTGTAGCAGTTGATCGCAAAAGAGCGAGAAGAGAATCTAACATGACTTTGAGAAAGCTTGAGAAAGATGAACCTGGTGCCAAACTAAAGAAGAAAGCAAGGGTACTTGTTGAGGTGAGGGTTTATCTCCGCATATTTATGTTATTTTCTCTTGCATTATGAGGTTTAATGATTGATGTAGATACACCATCCTTCTTTTTGCAAGTTCTATATGCAAATGTCTCATAATTGTTATTTTTTGAACTGAAATAAAACTTTGGAAGCGATTGTCATTGGCCATGGTACATTCTGTTTCTGCATGGTTAAGGTGACATCAATACAATTCGAGTGAATCTTGATATCTCAAATTAAATTTTCTCAGGTTGAGCAAGAAGATGCGGATAAGAGACAAGAAGCAGTCTGCTGAGAGTGTCAAGTGTATTTTGCTTGTGTCAAGTGTATTTTGCTTAAATTTGATTTCTTAACGAGTAATAGTGTCAATTTTACAGTCATAAGATATAACTGCATTGATTGGTAGTGAGAGGAAGCGGAATTGTTGTACAGTTGAGTTGCGCTAGTATGCAAAATTTTGACACAATGTTTGAGAGATACTTTCTTACTTACCATTCACTTTTGTTTCGTTTTTCCATTATCTGTATTGGATTTGAATTGAGGAGCTGAATTCTTTATTGCTTATAGCTCATTCTTGCTTCACTTTTTCAATTATCTTGTTGGTAGTAGAAACGAAAGATGCAAATTGTAAATTTTAAAAGAGTAATACTAAATCTCAAATTTCCAACCCAAATAGTATGTGATCTTGTTTGTGTGGTGTTGACATATTATAAACCATATCAAATTTTCATTTATATATCAAATTTTCGTTTATGTATCAACGTCACATAAGGTAACATAAGGTAGAAGAATTTATATACATAATTGTAAATTGTAATGGCTTCTCGTTTAAGGAAGAAAATGAGATGAGATAATAGTTTCTTTTAATGAAGAAGGGAGAAAAAGCATTACCTGGAACCACGCAAGAAACAGAAAAGTTAATCTAAAGAATGAATGAGAAAAGCTTACTTTGTAGAAATGTCTTCCTTTTTCAACTTTCATCAAACATAATTTAGTGTAATTTTCTCTCCTTTGAAGTTTGATTCCTCTTCATCAATGGCAAATCCCAAACACAAATTGTCTAGCATCCCACCAGATTCAGTTTTCGACATTTTCTTCCGAATTACTGTAAAAACTCTATTAAGATTTCGTTGTCTTTCGAAACCAATTTGCTCCCTAATCGACAGTCCAAATTTCATTAAATTTCACTTGAATTATTCCATTTCATGAAGATCCCGTCTCAGTTTGATTGCCAAAGATTTGAACCTCTACTCATTGGACCTTAATTCATTCGATAACATAACCCCACTTCATGATCACCCCCAACAAAACATCAGGGAAGACACAGAAGTATTTGGTTCATGTAATAGCTTGCTCGCTCTATCCAAATATTCAACCCTTCAACTAGAAATTTATTCAAGTTACCTTTTGTCCGTAATGGCTCTCCCAGAGTTCGTTTTAGAGGTGTTGTGTTTTGGGATTTGGTTATGACCATGTTAATGATGGCTACAAAGTTTTGAGAACTGTGAGGTTGAACATGCGGTTAGTAGATTATGAAATTAATATTTTCAGTTTAAAATCTAATTCCTGGGAAACAATCGATATCTCTCCGAATTTTTTTCGCTATATTTCTTAGACTTATTATCCTCCGGACAGAAGAATGTATGGAGTTTTTGTTTCTGGTGTTTTGCATTGGTTGTTTCCTCGTATTCGGGAGTTATTAGTGTGTTGCCTCAGCCTGATTATTTTTACTTTGAGAAAGAAGCAGTATTCGATTTGGCGGTGGTGGCTGGGAGAATTTGTTTGATTTGTAAGTATGATGAAGGGCTTCTGGATGTCTGGATGATGAACGAATACGGGGTGAAGGAATCTTGGTTTAATTTGGTTTTCATTGATCGAAGTAACACGACTACTTCCTTCAGTTTCTTGAATCCACCTTCCTGGGAATGGGGTAATGGTGCTGATAATTTTGTCTTGGAAGTGAAATGGAATGAAAAACTTGTAGTGTATGATCTGAAAAAACAAAAGTGTCGAGACTGTGATGATTAATGGTGATCCGAATTTGTTTGCGGCACACTTTTGTGTGGAAAGCCTCGTTCAGGTTGAGCTCAATACAACTGATTGTAGAACAATAATTGAAGAGAAGCAACAGGAAGATCGGAAGGTGGTAGTTGATGAAAAGCAGCTATTGAAGCAAGAGGAAAATAAGGAACAAAACAGGAAGAAGAGGTAAATATTATATTAAAAAAAAAAATCACATTTCTTGTTATAATTAAGCTATTTTCTTATTCTTTAGACATTATTAAATTCTAAAGTTCCTATATCTTTTGATCATGTCTGTATATTGTTTCACTTGATACCTTGTTTGTCCCTCTTTTTCTCTCTTTCAGGATTGATTTCCTGTCCAGAGGATTTAAATTGTTTTTATATTCTTTTTTTTTTTTTTTTTTTTTTGTTTTGTTACCGACCGGGTGTGTCTGGGCTTGTTTATGCAGATCTCGACTAGTTCTCTAACCACGAATAAGACTTTCGAAACAGGGTAAGCCCTGCGGTCCGTGGCCAACAGTATTAACAACCGTTCTTATGATTTGAACCTGAGATCACAGGAAGAGCAAACTCTTTGGCCCCAAACCTTTACTACTCGGCCAACCCATTGATGGTCATTGTTTTTACATTCAATTACCGGAACACGTAGAATAGGAACAAAGGCAAAAGGTGTAAGTCAATAATTAAAGTGTACAATTTTCTTTTGAATAATGTTATGTTATATGCATTATTTTAAAACCCGAACCTTATAGCAATTGAACCGGATTAACGTGTTGAATTAGAGGCGCAATATCGAATTGTCAGTTCAACCGATTGGATTGATGACGTTAGCACGATATCAACATGACATAATAAAATTTTAAAACTCTTTAGACTTCGGTTTTAGATAATGTTATTTGAATATTAATTTTAGAGTTTTAAAATTTTATTATATTATGCTAACATCAACCCGATCCAATGACAAGGGGCTCTGATCGCCCAGCCCAATGAGTAGCCTCTTAACCAGGTCAAGGCCCAATCCGAGTATTAAAATATTGGTTATATCTACAAATCCTTATTCATTTCATTTTTTGTATCTTCTATAGTTTCATGTTTTCACTTTGTACAACTCGGATTCTCTTGTATCTTCCAACTTTTTTCATGTCTGGCTTTAAAGATTCTTCTGGTGTTGTATGTTTTAAGCCATTTTGCCAACGCGTGTGTCCAGGACTCAGATTCTCGGTAGAACTGCAATGAGTCAAGTTGAAATTGTGAATCAACATTCCTGGCTGATTATTTTCCCAAGACAATTACTGTGCAACATGTGGAATGATATTTAATCACAAGAACTACTGTTGAAGATCGAGGAGCATTAATTTAATTGTGAAAAATCTTGAATAGTACATGTTAAATGTTTTTTGTACAAGTGATTAAACTGTTCTTCAATCTACACATTGACTAATTGCCGCTGGTTTTTGACTTACTTTAATTTCCCTTTGTTTGTTCTTAATCTTCTTCCTAGTTTCTTTTCATTAATTAAATATTAAATATAAAATCTTCTAGAAATCTGATAATCTTTCAACCGCGTTTTAAAGCCGATGCATCTTTTCCTTTTTTACACGGGAGAACGACATTTTCCTACTACCAAGATTCAAAATAACACTTTCCCACACCCTTCGTCATATTCCGTTGTGTTTTCTATTAATATTTGATTAAAAATATAAAAATATTTTTAAATAATTTATTTTTAATTAGTTTAACATAAATTAAAATTTAGTTAAATCAAAATAATTATTTGTTAATTTAAATGTAAAGATGTTTTTTTTCATTTATTTAATTAATTAGAAATATTAATTTTCTAACTTAGTAAAAATAAAAAATATTATATTATGAAAAATATTATAAATTTAGTAGATTATTGAATAATAATGATGAGATATTGATAATACTACAAATAAATATTAAGGTCATTTAACTTTAAACAATTCCATAGCATTAATCCTAACTTTTTAGTTATTATTATTATTATTATTTGACTTTTTAATATTTGATTTTTTGGCTAATTAAAAAATAATAAAAAATTTATAAAATCAAATATTTAAGAGTATTTTCGTCTTTTCAATCAAATATTAACATAAAACATAACAGTACCTAACAAATGGTGAGAGAGTATCATTTTAAAACTTGAAGGGTGGGAAAGTGTCGTTCTCCCGTGTGAAAAAGAAAAAGATGCATCGACTTTAAAACACAGTTGAAAGATTATCAGATTTCTAGAAGATTTTATATGTAATATTTAATTAATGAAAAGAAACTAGGAAGAAGATTAAGAACAAACAAAGGGAAATTAAAGTAAGTCAAAAACAAGCGATACTACAAGATGGTTAGATGTGGTTCTCCCTTTTTACACATTACAAGAATGGGTAAAACAAGAAGGTTTTGTATCTCAAGTTTCACACTTTCAAGTATACCTCTAAAATAATATCTTTAACCTCTCATAACCGATAACAAACTTTTTAGTCACTAAAATTATCTATATTTAAGGGATTTTGTATTCAAGATGTAAGAGAGGTACCTATCATATTTGTGTAATTACTTTGATCTATTAGACTTGTCGGGTGTTTCGTGGTCATGAGGGTTATGCATGCTTAAATATAGGCCTGAATACCTCAGATACCTAAAATAATATCCTTAACAACGTTGTTGGTCATGACCTTAAAATAAACTTGATACTTGTGCAATGAATATGTTAATCATCGACGTATGGTCTCAGGTTCAAATCTCCTTGGCTCCCAAGATATAAATGAGTTATTATAACGGTGAGATATTGTGCTAGTCACCAACAGAGATTAATTGAGGTACTTGGAAGCTGATTCAGACACCCTATATATATATATATATATATAAAGAAGGTGTTAATCGTGGATTTAATATTGGAAATAATAAATTTTACATTACTTTTTCATTCAAATTAGCAAAAGTAGTGTATATATATATATATAAGATGGATTCCAAACATTTATGGTGTGAAGAATTTAATAAATTTCAACTATCGTTTAAAATACAAAAATCGAGATACGTGCAAAATAATACTTCAAGTTGAGATAACGTGTGGATGGGCTTTAATTCATTTGTGTTATGAACCAAGGAAATCCGATTAGTTCGGGCCCATTAACTAATAATTATATCTTATTATTATTATTATTATTTTAAAAAAAGGGACAAAAAATAGCTTTCACGTGACCAAATACCCACTGATTGTTAATATACTAATTCAGTAATTCATTGTTCTGAAACTCGGGCCGGCCGGTTCGATCGAACCGATCGGATTTCATCAATGATTCCGGTTGATTAAATATTAAAACCTGATATTTTTATTTAAACCATATACTGTCAGACCGCTAATCCAACCGGATCAGATGACAATCCGGTCCAACAAATGTGACTGTTTTGAAAGGCAAAATCCCTGCCTTTTTTGCTTCAGCCTTCCGTTTCTTTAATCTTCGTTTCTTCGTGTTTCTCTGGCTTCCAATCCAACTTCGTTTATCTTCTCTTCCACCTTTATTCATCTTCGGTTAGATTCGAGCTTAGAATGTAGAAGAAAAAAAAGATGGAGAAGATCTAAAGAAGCAGAAGAAAAGAGAGAAGAGAACGGAGAGAAAGAGAGAAAAAAAAAATAAGATGAAGAAGAGGATCTGAAGGGGCAGAAGAAGGAAGAGAAAAGGAGGTGAGAAAAGAGAAGAGAAGATGGAAGAAGTAAAGAAGAAAGAGAAGAGACAGCAAGAAAAGAGGGAAAAGAAGGAAAAAAAAAAAAAAAAACGAAGAGAAAAGACAGAAAATGAGGTGACGGGTGAGAAGAGAAAAGAGAAGATGCGCTGACATTTGACATGGGAGAAATATATATATATAAAAAGAAGAAAGAGAGGACGGAGAGAAAGAGAGAGGAAAAAAACAGTACGAAAGAGTATATAGAATTGACCTATGAAATATATATATGACATCACCGGTCTGATCAATGTCAAACCGGTTGAACCGTTTAGACCGGAAACCGAACATCTAACCGAGTCACCTGCCGATCGAGTTTCGGAACATTGCATACTATATGAAAGGACATTTCTGGAAACATCTGTATAAAAGAATGCATTTGCATTTGCCCTTGCCAAGTTGTCAAGTTGCCATCTTTCAGTTTCACTAGTTCCTTCTAAAGAGAGGGGAGTCCTTTCTTCTGTGGATGAACGAAACACACCAGAAATGTCGAAGATCCCACCTGATATAATCACCGATATCCTATGCAAACAACCCGTCAAGTCTCTCCTTCGTTTCAGAGCCATTTCCAAAGCATGCTACTCCTTGATCGATGGGCAAGATTTCGTCAATATGCATCTTAACCATTCCCTCCAAACCAAGTCCAATCTCAGCCTCATTCTCAAAGGTTTGCATCTCTATACTGTGGAATTCGATACACTGGATATCCCACTTGATCTCAATCACCCTTTGTACATTGGTGGTGGAACCGAAGTTATTGGTTCTTGTAACGGTTTGATTGTTTTGCGAAACTCTGAACAAGATCTTGCTTTGTATAACCCTTTAACGAGAAAGTTAAGGAGACTTCCAGTTTGTGAAATTGGGTTGCCAAGTGATTCTTGTAGTCCTGGTTATGTTTTCTATGGGTTCGGACACGACCCCATTAAGGATGATTATAAATTATTGAGAATGGTGCAGTTTAAGGAGAATGATCCTGATGAAATTGTGTCTTCTTCTTTTGGTTATGAAGTTAAGGTTTACAGTTTAAAGACGAATTCATGGAGAAAAATTAGTAACTTGCCTAAATATTTACGTTATTTGTTTCAATTCTTTTACCATCTTATGTTTAGAAGAGGATATGGTGTTCTTGCTAGTGGTTCTTTACATTGGATTGCGCCTCGGAGGCAGGAGCTTGTTGATGTGCCTAATTTGATTGTTGCTTTTGATCTTGTGAAAGAGGAGTTTCGCGAATTGTCACTGCCTGATTATGGCGATGAAAGTGACAATATTAATAAGAATTTTCAATTGGATGTGGGAGTCTTGGAGGGGTCTCTATGTGTTGTTTGTTACCGTGACCAAGTTTATGCGGATGTTTGGATGATGAAAGAGTATGGGGTGAAGGAATCTTGGACCAAGTTGTTTGCTGCTAAACGACCTGGAACAATGAATTGTTTAGCATTTTTGAGACCTTTGGCATATTCAAAAGAGGGTGATAAGGTTCTTGTTGAAGTGAACGGCGAAAAGCTGTTATGGTATGATTTGGAAAAGAAAAGACTCAGGAGTGTGAGGATCAATGGCGGTCCAGATTCATTTGGAGCAGAAATGTGTGTGGGAAGCCTTGTCCCTCTAAATGATGGAGATGGTAAAATCCATGGAATGAAGCAGAGGGAGAAAGAGGAAAAGAAGAAGATTACAAATAAGAAGAGGTACAACTCAAACTTATACTTGTTCTACATGGTTCAATTTTTTTTTTTTTTTATTTAGTTTTTGTTTTAGCTTTTCCATAGTTGCTATCCGTATGAGTAATGATTGATCTGTTCATAGTGCTAAAGTAGAAGTGTTTTTGAATTGGTCAGGGATGATTTCTTGTCAAAAGGGTTTAAGCTGGTTTTGTAATCACCTGAGAATAGGAGCACCCAAAGTGAAAGAAGGTAAGCTCTAAATCTTGTATGAAATTGTTATTAGTGAATTATTCGCTAATTGGTTACTTTTGGCTAATGGTATCGTGGGTGGAAATACAGGCCAAAATATCATATTTAGAGGACTAATGATCTCCCTTTTCTCTTTTTCACAATTTTGTATCCAGTTGTTTCTTGTTGCAGGTTTTCCCTCAGTGCTTTATGCTTACACTTGAAGCAGCAGTCAACCACAGTTTCAGTACATATACCTGAATGTTCTTCCAAGAATTTTAGTTGTTTATTGTATTAATTTGAACTTCTTGTACATTTTCTTTGAGTGAAGGAAAAGAAAAATGGATCTGATTTGCCTTCTAAGCACAATAGTAGCGCCATAAGTAGATCTTTTTGTCATATTGGATTCTAAAATTAAGGCTGAAAAGTATGTTCAAACTGATCATGAAATAGAAAGTTACGTTTTGATGCTTACAAAGGAAAGTATGATTTAGTTCTTGAGGCCTAGTTTGTGTATGTTAATAAGATGCTATATTTCAAAGCTCCAATTTCTAAGAAACATGGTGTTTGGGGGGTCCTGAAGCTAAGTATCATGTGTAGTCCTTTTTCCTTTTCCAATATGTACTTTTTATTGCTTTGCAGAAGCGTATGAATTTGGAGCGCTTTTCACTTTCTGTTCTACCCAGCTTTGGTTTTTGGCAGTGTCTAAAAATTAGTCAAAGGTGTATAAAAATTAGCCACCTCACAGCATGCAATGGCGAGTGTCAGGTTGAAACATCTGAGATCGCCACGTAAGTTCCAAATCAAACATATGCTCTACACGTACAAATTAACATGCTACCAATCTAAAAGGAGATGGAGTTGAAAAATCACGGGCTATTTGCCCCAATTAAAGAATGTCAACGGAACTCATTGATGACAAAGCAACTAACTCTGTAGCATTAATTTGATTATGGTGGGTGTGTTATATTCATTGAATACATGCAAGGATTGGAAATCCACCATTGCTTTTACTCTGCAGGATCTTGCATCTTGAATGGCCTTCAGAGAAGTGTAACAACTACGCACAGTTTCTCCAACAGTCTCAGAAATATTCAATCAACTTTTCTTTAACAAGTCTCCCACTTTTCCTTTGTTTAATTTACTTATTTTTTTTGGTCTTTATTTACCACACATCATGGCAAAGCTAAAAGATGGAATCAGTCATTCATGGCGAGTGCTATGACTGCATAATGCATATAAAGAATAGAGTAAACGACACGTTCCCACCCAAGGTTTGCTGAATCCGCAAGTTCTTACCCTGGTTTCATAAATTCTAGATTTCCACCCTTAAATTAACATAAAATAATGGTTAAAGGGCAAACTGGTCATTTATGTTGCATTAAAGTTGACATAAAAATAAAAATTTTAAAATAACCCTCCATATCTCAAATTTCTCTCACAAGCGCCCTCAACATCTCAAGTTTAAAATATGATGATCGCACCCCTGTGATAGAAACGCGACTTGGCAGCTTGTGGACGATAAACGGCGAGTGGGAGAGGCTAGTGGAGGTGTGGGTTTTGTTGAGGAGAGGATGAAGGTTTGAATGGTTGTGAAAGGGGGTATTTCTAGTGGCAAAACCACTTGGAATCTAGCCGTAAACTTGGAGAATCATGCGAGATTGCAGGGGCTATCGACTGACGATTTGTGGGTGCATTGGGGTGGGCGTGTGAAGGGTTTTGGTGATTGTGGCGTGGGCATTTTGGTGGTGGTGATGGGGGAGCTTGGTGAGAGGAAAAGTCGCAAAAATTGCGCAATCCGATTGCCCTGGTGGGCGGCAGTTAGGCGATGGTGAGGGGTGCCGCTCCTAGTCTCCTTTGCGTCATTGTTGTCGTGGCTTTGGCCTATCTATGGTGCCGATTGTGGTGGTTGGGGTTTGTCTAGCTCGTACGGGTTTGATGGACAAACTTCCATCTTAGGGAGGTTTCTAATATTTAGCTGCCACAATCAAAAGTTAAAGTTAAAGTTAAAGGCCAGTTTGGTAATATAATATATTTCATACTATGTCAGACCTTAACAATGTTAATCTAAAGGTGGGAATTTAAAATTTATCAAACCAAGGGTGGGAACTTGTAGATTCGCCAAACCTTGGGTGGGAACATGTCGTTGTCTCTAAAGAATATGATAATAACTCTTTGATACAATTACACAATAAAAAACTATGAGCAAATGAACCTTGAAATAGAAAGGCAAGGTGGATGACTTCAAAACAAAGTGATTACTTTGGTCCAGTTAGTCTTTTGCTAGTGAGATGTTTAATATGCTCTACGGAAGGCTCCAATTTCCAACACAAAATTGACAGGTAGGTTTTTGGTTTGATCCTGAAGCTTGGTATCAGTTTCTTCCTTTTTCCTTCTCCTGTAATATTTACTTGGTTTGGAAAAACTTGTGCGTCGGGGCTACACTTATTCTTCTACATAAATTGCTTTTACATTCAATTACCAGAAACTTGCAGAATAGGAACAAAGGCAAAAGACGTAAGTTGATAATTAAAGGGTACAAATTTCTTCTTAATAATGTTATGTTATATGTACACATCCTTCTTTTGTATCTTTATAGTTTCATGTTTTGCTTTTGTACAATTGGGATTCTCTTGTATCTTATATCTTTTTTCATGTCTGGCTTTCAAGATTTTTCTTGTGTCGTATGTTTTAAGCCATTTTGCCAATGCGTGTCCAGGTCCCAGATTATCAGTAGAACTGCAATGAGCCAAGTACTTGAAATTCTGAAACAACATTCCTGGCTGATTAATTTCCCAAGACAATTAATATGCAACATGTGGAATGATATTTAAGAGCCAAAAAAAAGCATGGTTTTCATATGGATTTAATTCCAAGGACTACTGTTGAAGATCGTGGAGCATTAATTTAATTATGAAGAATCTTGTACATTACATGTTAAATGCATTTGTAAAAAGGATTATTGATCTTCAATCTCTAGATCGACCAATTGCCTCTTGTTTTTCACTTACTTTACTGTCGCGCCCCCGCCCACCCCCTCGTTTTTCTTTTCTTAGGGGAGAATGACAATTTCCCACCCAAGGTTTGGTGTAACTAATTTTCCCACCTGAAAGGTTTGATAAAAACAATTTTCCACCCACCATTAAGATCTGTTACTAAAATCCTTTAGCTGACATTATGTCGTCACTGTAAAGACAAAAATACATTTTACTTCCTTCAAATCCACTCTATCCTCTGTAAACCCTTTTTCTTCTTTGAGCCTGACTCTAGTCACCCCTCTAACTCCGGTGAGATCCGTTAACTACGACCAACTAATCCTTCTCTGAGCCTAGCTCCAATCAACACTCCAACTCCCGTGAGATCTATTAACTACCACCAGGGACGTAGCCACACTATAACATATGGGTTCAATTGACCCCACTTAAATTCATATTGAACCCACTCAAACTTTAAAAATAAAAAAAAAAAAATTATATTTTATAGAATAAACAACTTAATGCCACCCAAGGTTTTCCTTGATGACCCTTTCCCATCCAAAAAGTTTCAAAATACAACTTTTCCACCCAAAGTTAATATTCCATTACTATCCAAAGCTGATTCCGGTAACAAAAATTCTCTTTGTCACCACTGTTTGAACCTCCAACTCCATTCTACAAAACTCCTCTCACACCGGCACCTGATTTTTTTGCCAATTGTAGACCATCACAAAACTAAGGTTTCACGTTCTTAGCTAATTTTTTACTGATTTTGACAGTGAATATTCAATCACTCACCATCGTTCGATTCACCGATCTCCACTTGACACAACCCATCTTATCCTGACTCTTGGTAACTCGTCAAATGATGGCTGGGAAAGTAAAGTGTATTTTGGGTATTAATGGAATATAAACTTTGGATGGAAAAGTAGTATTTTGAAACTTTTTGGGTGGGAAAGTGTCATTAAGGTAAACCTTGGGTGGGAAAAAGTCATTTACTCTATTTTATAATATTTATAATTTTAACCTCACTTAAATTTGTATTAAACCCACACAATTTTATTGTAAATTTATCAGCTTAAATGTTTTGAACACAGCCAATAAAAATCCTGGCTATGTCCTTGAACTCATCAATTTACCACTATTGTCGACATCAACACATAAAAAATGAACTTATCAATAGCAAATCTCAATCCAAATCAACACTACCTAAAAATCAACCAATATTAGTTCAAATCAACAATAAAAAAAAATATACCCTAAAATCGAACAACACAAAATAACTACAAATGATAATGAAGAAAGAAGCAGGTGAAAAGATTGAAGAAGATGGCTAGCGCAATGTTTAAAATGGTAGTCTTGTGCATCACGTCGCCTCTTAAGGCTGGGACTTGCAACTTCCCATAGCCATCGCGTGGTCCAGAACCTAACAAACTCCCACTCCCATCCCCAATCGCCTTTTGTCCTTTACTTAATAAGGGAAGTTTGGGATTCAACCGAAAAAAATTAAGGAATTTTTTCTTAGATTTAAGAAACCAAAAAGAGATTAAGAGGAAGAAGATAAAAAAAGGAAAGGAAAGAGAGAAAGGAGATAGAAAGAGAAAAAGAAAAGAAAAGAAGAGAGAAAGCAGCTGACTGCGCCAATGCTGGTAGCTGACGACAGTGGTCTCTTTCTTTGTAAAAAGAAGGAAGGAGTTAGAGATAGAGGTAACATAATAAAAGAAAAGTGTTGGAGGAAGTGGGTGTTGGCATGGGGGCGAGGAAATGGGTGTTTGGAGAGAAGATGGAGAGTGAGAAGAAGGAGGGGGATGAGAGGTGATGGTTGGGGTGGGGAAGAAAGATAAAAGGGGTTAATAAAAAAATAAAATAATTGAATTTACCATTTTGTCCTCCTTCAGTTAAAGTTAACGAATTGATCGTAACGATGTGTGGGAAATATGTTTTTTCAAACCTTTTAGGTGGAAAAATTACTTAGGCCAAACCTTGGTTTTACCATTTTGTCCTCCTTTCGTTAAAGAATGGATAATGTGTTGTAACAAATATTTTAAAACCTGGACCAGACAGGTCAGTTCAATCGGTCCAACCGAGAACCAACTCCCTATCTAGTCCGAACAATAATAAAAACTGTTTATAGCTTATTACTCGGTTTGGGCCAAATTTGGACTGGTGGAACAATAGTGAATTGTCAGTTGAACCTGCCTGGTGACTAAACTAAATCAATCATGTTGCTAGTTTTCTTCCCTTTTTTTTTCCCTCTCCTCACCTCACCTCTCTTTCTTTCTTCTCATTCTTCTCTTTTTTTCAATTTTTTTCTTGGTTTGGCCGATTGAGGCCACAAAGGTGGCCAAATATGGCTAGCCATGTGAGCTTCACGTTAGCCAGATCTGGCTAATCATGTAGCCTACGTGGATGGCTTCCAATGACAATCAAACGAAGTGGAAGAGAAAATCAATGCGAGGAAAAGAAAAGAAAAGAATAATGGACCTCGGGGCGACAGGAATAGACGGCGATGTAGAGGAGGGAGCAATGATCTTTGTTTCTTAAATTGAAGGGGTGTCCAAATCTGAATTTCTTAGGTTAAGGTGATAAAGGATGTAAAAAATCTTAGGGTTGTGTTTGCTGGATTCAACGTGCA